GTTTTCATATTTAATTATTTTTATACTGAGGTTTTATCAATAACCAGACCTATTATTAATTAGCATATTTCTGAAGATCACATCTCAGCATTTACACATGCATAAGTGTGTAATCAGGGCAAATGCACAGAATAAATGGCATTTTCTGTTTTCTAATGCCTTTTTGAGATGGTTTCCAGAGTACTGAGCAAGGGAACACATAAACACAATGAATATCCTTCCACTAGCTTCACAATATATCCTTTACAAGAATTACTTCTTTTCAGTGCTACTAGTTGTTGTTTTGGGGTTTTGTTTGTTTGTTTATTTGTTTTTGGCTGTTTGTTTTACTTCTAACCTTCATCTGAAATCACTATTTCCTTGGAAGGCTTTGGTATAATTTACATATAGAAACATCTGGTTAAGCCTTCCATCCTCTGTCCCCTTCTCCAACTATTACCTCTAATTACTCTTCCCAATTCCATGCTTTAGTAACACATTTTGACCAAGGTTTCAAGTAAGAGAATAACGCTATATTCTGACAAAACAAGCTGCTGCTCTTCTTTCCATCAACTGTTTTCTTTACCACATTGTCGTGGAAGGCATTCTTATTCCCAAGAATAAAACTTGGAAGATCCTTCTCATTCCTCATTGCTAATGTAGCTAATGGCAATTTCTTTTACTTTGTCAGAAGTGACAGTTCCCTCATTAGTCCTTTTGCTTATCTGTCCTGTCAAATATTTGGTTCAGGTCACATGGCACTAATTGACTATATGACATCTACATCACTAACATAGAAGCCTTCCCCCAAAAGAATCTCACCTGTCAGATCAAAATAAACTCTGTCAACATTTGACAACATCATGTCCCTTCATTGATCATTGCTTTCCCTGAAACCTCTATGGAGTCTAAGATCTTTACTTTGGGCCATAAATATACTCAAACCATCAAAAAAATATAATACCTATTTTTAAATATAACACCCTTCTAATTTTTTCTTTAATTAATCTAAAATTCATCCTAGTACAACCTTAAATAATCTATGATTGATGACTCACACCTTAATAGGTTAATTCTTCCATCAAAAGATTTGACTTTTTGTAGACCGAGGTTTAGGTTCATTTAAAATACTATAATTTATGTGTAACTTTTACAAACAGTTTTATTAGTTTGCCCTGGGGTGTGTATATCAAAATGCCATTCTGAATATAGAATATTATGAATTTTAGAACATTTAATTTAGGAATAGCATATCCATTTCACCTTGTCTGCCAACTGCTCTTAATTAGTAAGGAATGTTGGGAGCACTGAGTTGAGAAGGACTCGGGGGCCACATCACAACTCACTGGGAATAAATGTCATAGAAATGTCTATCAAAGGAGGGAGTGCAGAAAAGGCACGTGTCCCAGGCATTTCCAATCTAGACTTAGAGCATAGGAATTCACTTTCACTTTTTATAGAATATTGTGTAGCCCAGCACCAGGCAGTTAGTTGTCTTTTTCAAATACTAGCAGATGGTGTTGATAAAATTCATCCTGCTTGTGAACAAACACAAAAACCATTGCACCATACCCTCTAGGTTGATATGGCATTTGTTTTTCTTAATTAAACTATCATTGTTAGGAAGCAGCAGCAGAATTCTCTAAAAGCAAGCGTTTCATCAAGGAGAGACACTATGTAAACTCCAGGGAAAGCAATAAACAGATCATTACAGGTTCATCAGCCCCCTGCAAAGTTATAAATTAAAGAATCTGTATGCTATCAAGTGGCAAAGAGCAGAGGAGGGATGCCATGGTCTAAATAGTCTATCTTTTCTTTTGACAACCACACAAAATCCAAATACTCTATTCCCCTGTTCTTTAAGTTTAAAAAAAATGCTTATTGGGAGATAAATTGTTCCTTAGAAAATTAGTTCATGGGGGCGCTTGGGTGGCTCAGTTGGTTAAGTGACTGCCTTTGGCTCAGGTCATGATCCCGGAGTCCTGGGATCGAGTCCCACATTGGGCTCCCCCTTCTCTCTGGGGAACCTGCTTCTCCCTCTGCCTCTGCCTGCCACTCCCCCTGCTTGTGCTCACTCTGTCTCTCTCTATGTCAAATAAATAATTAAAATCTTAAAAAAAAAAAGAAAATTAGATCATGGGCTCTATGGAGCCTGACTTCATAGACTCTACCTTTAGCCAGTGAATATTAGTAACACACCAGAACTATTTTTAAGGCTAGGAAAGAAAATTATTGCCTCATTGAAAATATTCTTGCTCTATACAGTTTTCATTGTTATCCAGTCCTTTGTGAAATCTTCTCTTAAAGTGTTGTCCCTACCTGAACTTTCTTCCACTCAACTGAGAGAAATTAAGCTCATCCTTATCAAGGTGCCTAGCACTCTACAGATACTGATAATTAAAGCAATTATCACACATTATTGTAATTATCTGATTACATAATGATCAGACCCACTAGAACTGCCTTCTTAAAGGCAAGACCTGTTTTTTAATCATCTTTTGATTTTCAGTACACAAAATAATGCTTTACCCAGGATATGGCCCTAATAAATAGATGAGTGAATGAGTAAATTTATTCACTGGTATCACTGTTAAAGAGAAGAAAAGGTAAACTTAGCAGATTGAAGTTGAGCAGGCAGAATTTCCAAAAATAGTGGGTATCATTTTTTTTTATAGATAAAAATCATAGAGGTTGAAATGGAAGGCAAAGGAAATAAGCCTGAAGAAATATCAGGGTGAGAAATAGAGTAGACACTCTGGGAAAACAAATAAAACTGCAATGACAAGATAGAAGTATTGGTTTTAGGGTGATGTTCGTATTTCTATCTCTTCATCCTATTAGAGCTAAAAAATTAGTTTCCAAAATTAATATACTTTTTGCTCAAAGACCCTAGTCAATAAGGGGCACATCCTTATCTTGGTTCCAAAGATTCTTATCTGAACTGAGATGAAGAAAGAACCCAACAACAGGATGTAACATTCAGGTAGTATGGTAGTGCTCCACTGAAATCTTTTAAAAATGCTTCTTGGTTTTATGAACTTTAATAAGTCCTTTTGATTTTGGAAGTTTTATGCTTTGAAAGAGATTATAGTCTTTTGACTGATTCAAATGTAAAACTCCATTTCTTTTCTTATAATAAAATACTTCTGAAGATAGATGCAAATTATTTTGGTGAAGTGTCAAAAGGATAACAGCTTAGGCTTTGTAACTAAACAGAATGGGTTCAAATCTAGCATCCCCACCACACCCCAAATTGAGAGAAATTTCTCCATGGACCCTAATATTTCTTCACATCTTGTAAGCAGAAATTCCAACTGTTCTTCTGCTCTTTGTACTAAACTATCTTTTCAAAGATGTCCATACAACAAATAGTCTTAGAGGACAGTGTCTTCCACCAGAGTAAAGGGCAAGTCTGCCCATAAACTTGGGGGGATAGAGATAGGGGTGCCCTCCACAGCAAAGGGCAGACAAGCTCATTTACAAAGGATTCCATTTCCCTAAGCTCATGGTTCTCCTATAATACCACCTACGATGTGTGCAGGTTCCTCATACTCCTCATATCAGTCTATGAAAATTAGGGCTTAGAGAATGGCACAAATGATAATATTCTGGCTGGTGACACTTCTGTGAATAATAAACTCTCCTCTGTTTCTGACCTTAAAAACTGGTGTCTTCTCCCATCACCCAAGAAACTGTGGCAGAGAAATTTGTTAACTTGCCAGTCGAGTAAAAATCTGACTCTTTATAGTTCTTCACATTTACTGAGTAAACTTGAGCAATTATTCCAAAATGTTTGCACTTCAGTTTTGTATTGTTATGAAATTTAAAGGTGACGATACTTATAAATTTCTTAGTATGCTATAGCATCCAAATGGTGTTAGAAGTGTTCAAATAAATGGTAGCTAATAGTAGTCAGACATAGCAGCAGTCAAAGCAGCAGTGAGGAGAAGCTGCAGTAACAGCAAAGGTAGCTACCAACACTGAAAGAATGCCAATGCATGGCGGATATTTTATTAAGTGGCAGGTATAGGTTTTCTTCCTTAATCTTTTTTTTTTTTCAGCAACATCTTGACAACAAATAGAATAGACATTGTTGTTGTTGTTTTCTCTCTCACTGGTTAAGTGAGTTAAATGAATCTCAAACAGTTGATATGATTTGCCAGGAATCACTCCCAAGGCCATTGTCAAAGCAGAGATAAGAAGCCAGCTGTGTCTGATTTTCAAGGGACTTTCCTGCATGTACTTGCAGCCACATGTTGGAGAGGAAGCTTCAAAGTAACTGAGATTAGCACTTGGATGTCCCTACCTACCATTCACTCAGGAAGCAAATGCCAAAAGATAAAAGAGATACAACTCATTTATCTTTCTCTTTGTTAGAAAAGTAAGCTCACAGAAAATGATAAAGGTCTCTAAAATTTCTGTGGGCAAGATTCATCCATGAATTCAGCTTCCATTGAACATGTCCTATTTTTCAGGCACTGTACTCTGAAACTTTGTCCACTTTAAAGTATTATTGTTTTCTCCATAATACAAATAATCTTTATCAATATCAATTAAATAAACTATATAGCATTCTTATTTCACAAATTCCCAAGCTAAGTCTTCCACCAGATATCTTTAAAAGATTCACAGATTCAGTCAATACTTCAAAATGTAAATGAAATTATGACTTTTACAGACTAAATTTCTAAACATCATAAACTTCATGTTTTTCTAATATAAATACAAAGACACATTTATGTACAATGCATAAATATGTATATAGAGATACATTGTACTGTTTCATTTCACAAGTAATGTTGTCTTATTTTGACAAACATTTTTTCTGAACTTGTCATGTAGTATACATATACACAAAAATAGATATTTCTTTTAATCTTCAAATTTTTTAAAAGGAATCAGCACAAAATGCCAAGGATATTTTGCAAATATGCTGTCAGATTACAACTCTTACTTTTAAAATGTTTTCATCGCATCAAGCAAATATTCAATCAGCATAAAAATAAATATTTTTTCTTTACCTCTGCAGATGGGAACGGGAAAATCCCATGAGGCTGTATTCACTGAATTGGCTATACAGGTGAGTTGAGGGTGGCCATCAAGAATATACCCAGTTACACAGCTGTAGCGGATCTTGTCCCCAACTTCAAACCGTGTACCATATAATACACCTTTGGGTGGAACTCCTGGGTTTCCACAAGAGCTACTCTGCAATTCTATAAAAGGGGGAGAAAAGGAGAATTTACAGTTATATTAATACATATTTTAATGTTTTAATTTTAAAAAGTATATGTAGATACAGATGTCTCTTTTCCTTTCAAAAAGTGTCACAATAAAAGGAAACGTCTTCCTTCTCAAAACATGTAACACAGAAGTATGGGAAAGGAACTAAATTTTACCAAGAAAGTATTAGGTTTCATTCTTTGTATTAGAAAAATTTAAATATTTTATATTATTTAATCTTTCTAGCAATTTTAAAAATCAACATTACTCCTATTTTACAGACATAAAGCTAAGAATAATACCATTTACATGACTTCTTCAGTTACATTCTAACATAGTAATAAGCAAATCAAGTTTTATTAATATGTTCCTATTACTTTGATGCATCTGCTTAACTCTAAACCAGAAGCATTTCTCTGACAACATATGTATACATTTTGGGTGGAAATTTTTTTCCACTTAAATAAGAAAAATACAGTGCAGTAATGAAATGGAAATATTTTGGAAGTTGGAGAGATTGGGCTAGAATTCCCAATTTATTTAACCTGAAAATATAATAATAAAAAGTGCATACAGTTGTGAAGTTTTAAATAAATCAATATGTTAGGATATGGTACATCCTGCCTTATTTTATTAGTTAATACTAAAAGTATACAAGTATACAAATGTAAGAGATTTTTAAAAATAATATTCATTTCAGAGAAAAATCCATTTTCACTGTAAATGAAAAGAAATGGAAAGAAAATCTATAGAAATAGCAAAACTTACAAAACTTCATGAAGTTAAAAAAGTTATTTTCCCAATATTATTTTCTAAATTTTCTATCATCTTTATATTATTTCATACTGTAAATATTTGTCAATACAAATACACACTAATGAATTACTGAGCTAAAAGGTATTCAAGTTTGAGTAGGCAATAGTTTAGTTAATGGTATACAAATGTTAATTTCCTACTTTTGACAATTATGCTATGGTTACATAAGTAGCTAATATTATGGGAAGCTGGATGCGTATAGGGGAACTCTGTACTATTTTCACAATGGAACTGAAAGTCTGAAATTATTGAAAAATAAAAAGCTAAAAAACCACTGCAACACAAAAATGAAGTATGTTTCCATTTTGCCTTGATATTCATCCCATTTATGTAGTTAGTAAGATCCATGCAATGTTATTTAATATTAAGCCAAATACCTATAAGCCACTATAATGTGGAAAATATCAATGGCAGTAAGGAAAAATATCAATATAGAGAGGTAATTTTACAAAAACAATGGCCATTTATAAATAAGAAGTGTATACGGAGCTGAAATTTTGTATTTTTACCCATAATAGGTGTATAGTACTTTTGGGAGTGTTTCCTAAGTGAACGTGATTTTTTTCTGTATAAACTTTTCAAAGATAGTGAAAGAAAAATTAGTGATAAATTTCAAATGAAGTCAGTTTAATCAGTGAAAAATATATTGAGGATATATAGAACTTCAGTTACATATATGAGAAATAAAGTATTTACTTTTAGTTTAGGACAATTACTTTAAAGTATGAAATCTAAAGCAATAAAAAAACTTGACTAATATTAATTACATATCAATGGTTTCTATAAATAACAGTCAATTTCCTTAAGCTTCCTTGGCATTTAAAGATACAGCATAATATCTTTAAAATATTGTAAATATCAGTAGACAAGTTTAATGATCTCTAATATTTCACTTCTCCAAGGCATACAAGTTCATTTTCAGCAAAATTTAAAAGATATTTATTATCTGTGAATTTTGAGTAATTCTTTAAAAGTACTTTTGAAATGTACAGTTTATTTTGAAATATTTTTTCCTTTGGAAAATTCATTTCATTGAAAGATGAGATGTTTGCTGCAAGAGATGATGAGGTTAGTAAGTTTTGATAAAATGAATTAGCATTCAATCCCTTGAATATAGTAATAAAGGAAATTCTTTTAATGAAACTACCACTTGTGGCCTTAGAATCAATCCACTCCTTTCCCTCTCACCTCCTAAAAAATAATTAAGGTCAGGACTTCAATTATCATAGTTATATACCTAGGAGAAAAAGCAGTTTTCTTTTTTTTTTTTTAAAGATTTTATTTATTTATTTGAGAGAGAGAGAATGAGAGACAGAGAGCATGAGAGGGAGGAGAGTCAGAGGGAGAAGCAGACTCCCCGCTGAGCAGGGAGCCCAATGTGGGACTCGATCCCGGGACTCCAGGATCATGACCTGAGCCGAAGGCAGTCGCTTAACCAACTGAGCCACCCAGGCACCCGAAAAAGCAGTTTTCAAATTGTTTCACAGGAAGCAGCTAGGTGGAGGAATGAAGGGAAAGAGAGAAGAAAACTCTAAATAGTTCTTATACTCAGATTTAACTTTGATTTAAATGAACAAATAAACATTACCCAGAACAAAGCAAAAATGGAAAACATAGGAAGTGAGTCGATGAATGAATAACAACACTGGTTGGAATCTTATTACATTACCTAATCTATTGCCTGCCTTGTGGCTGATTTATTTCTAAATCAACAGACAGATAAGAAGTCAGGGTGTTTCAAAATAAAACTCAAAAAAGAAAATTCTAAAACATATCTGGTTCTCACCTTCAGGAAATTCCTACTTTGGATTGCCCTTGTTTTTTGACTTTCATAAAAAAGAACTACCCATCATTGTCTATAGAATGAGTAACCCATGAAGACAGTTATAAAGATCTTTCACATTCAGGTTTAAGAGATCCCAATTCTATAGCCACTGTGCATGGATTCAATTTTTTGTCCTCTCCCAATCCTTTAATTTGGGACTTGTCCCTAAGCTGTGTCCATTTTAAGACAAAGAGCCAAAGATGTGTTATTAACTGAAAGAATTATACAATCCACCACCAAAAAATGCTATATTCTGATTCACTTTTTAGTCTTGATTTTTTAAAAAATAGTGCTTCATATTTGAACTTTTTAAATTAATTTGTTAATATGACAGTCTAGATAGAACTAGCTAAGACTAATTTTTAGGCATTGTTACTACCAGCTATCAAGAGTTTGAATTGCAGGAGAAAATAAAGACACAGTCTACCATGTTCAGTAAAGCAGATTATAAACTAATAATATACATGGTATTTACAATAAGTGGTGATTTTGTTTATTATAAAATAATTCTTAAGGAAAATAGATATTTAAGCAATAAAGTATTTTCATGTTAATTCACCAAATGTATCTACAAGATAACAACACCCTGCTTATCACTTCCCTGTGTTTCTGAAGCAAATAATTACATCCAAAAGGCAAAATTACCAGACTCATTTATCATCTTTCACCAACAAATGACACTAAAATACATACTGAAAAGTTTCAGTGATTAAAATAAAACATTATAGAACCTGACATATTCTCATCTGATATTCCATAAGGCAAAGATTAAAAAACGGGATTGGAGTGTTCTGGAGAAAGTACTTTAAAGTTATTGTCATGACACTATTTGAGTACTGATCACTTTTTTAAAGCAAAAATTGTACTGCAGCCTTATTTGAATTTATTCTTGGGATCTGTGCCATGAGATTGTGTTTGTGGATGTAAAAGAAATACTAGGGGCACCTGGGTGGCTCAGTCGTTAAGCATCTGCCTTCGGCTCAGGTCATGATCCCAGGGTCCTGGGATGGAGTCTCGCATCAAGCTCCCTGCTCAGCAGGAAGCCTGCTTCTCCCTCTCCCACTCCCCCTGCTTGTGTTCCCTCTCTTGCTGTGTATCTCTCTGCCAAATAAATAAATATAATCTTTAAAAAAATTAAAAAAAAAAAAAAGAAAGAATCAAGAGTTCGCCTGGGTGGCTCAGTTGGTTAAGCATCTGCCTTGGCTCAGGTCATGATCCTGGTGTCCTAGATTGAGTCCCACATCCGGGTCCCAGCTCAGCAGGGAAACTGCTTCTCCCTCTACCTCTGCCCCTTCCCCCATTTGTGCTCTCTCTCTAGCTTGCTCTCTCTCTCAAATAAATACATAAAATCTTAAAAAAAAAGAAATATTCAAGTAAATAGTTTAGTGAATTGAGAAAATTACTGGAAAACGAGTCTGAAGACTTTACACTCAAAAAATGTTTCCAAAAACATCAGATACCATTTATATAAGTTTACTGTTCTGTCCAAATGATGGAGTCAAATTAAACTTCATCTGTTTTTTGCTAGAAATATATGTATTTTATGTATTTTATCCTCTCTTCTCAGAGATTTAAAGTTATCAGCAAAGAATATGAAGGCATTTTGGCAACATAAACCATGCTCAAGTGTATGGGATTATTGATAAAGCAAAAAATTACTTGAAGAAGGTCCAAGATAAATAAAAATCCAAATGGAGGTAGGAAGTTATTGACAGGAAGTTATTGACTTCCTTCCTATTGGTAGGAAGTTATTGACACTTCTATATTAGTTGAAAGGAAATATAACTATAAATTATTTAGTAACTAATTTATTCATCAGAAGCTCTTGAGGGTTATGGTTAACACCACCTCCCTTGCCTTCTCAGAGTTTACAATTTGAAAAAGTTAATAGCCTTAATTGTTGAGATCAGCTGTGAGTCACCCTCTTTTCTAGGCACTTAGGCGTTCATATTCCCACTTACATCTCACAAATTACCCAATGCCATATATGATTTTCCCTGTTGTACAGAAGGAGAAACTGAGACTCAGATAGATTAAGTAACTTTCCCAAAGTCACCCAACTAATAGATTTGTAGTTCAAGCCTAGATGTCTCTAATGTTAAAAAAAAAAAGCCTTAGATTATTTCACAATTGCATATTGTTGTCCATGAGAAACAGATATTCATTTCAAGTGTTCATTAAGCAGCTAATATGGACAGTACTCTGAGGATATAGCTTTGCAAATGACAAACATGGTCCTGCCCTCATGGAATTTATCAACTTGGTATTGACCAAGTCAATAAACAAGTAATTACATAACATTAATTAGAATATGACAAGCAGGATAAAGGAAGCATACAAGCTCTAATGAAA